AAGAAAGAGTGACCATAGAATCAAGGAATGGTTTGGTTTGGAAGGGACCTTAAGGGTCATCTTCTTCCAACCCCTGCCATGGGCGGGGACATCTCCCACTAGCCCAGGTTGCTCCAAGTCCTGTCCAACCTGGCCTTGGACACTTCCAGGGATCCAGGGGCAGCCACAGCTTCTCTGCCCAGCCTGGACCAGGGCCTCAGCACCCTCCCAAGGAGCAATTCCTTCCTAATATCCCATCTAACCCCACCCTCTGGCAGTGGGAAGCCATTCCCCCTTGTCCTGCCACTCCATCCCTTGTCCTAAGTCCCTTTCCACCTCTCCTGGAGCCCCTTTAGGCCCTGGAAGGGGCTCTGAGGGGCTCTGAGGTGTCCCTGGAGCAGAATGCCAAACAGACCATCAACTTGTGCGCTGTAAACTCAACTTCAATATCAAAATCAAACCTAAAAGGGGCAGCATCCCAAGGAGGACACTCCAAGTTAACAATCTCCAGTCAGCCACAGTGAAAGACAGATTCCAGGCAAATCTTCAAACTAGGCTTGAAAATCATTCTATAGATTCTACAGATTCCTCTTCTGAAACACTCTGGTACCTTATCAAAAACAGCATCCTGCAATCCTCTGAAGAATCCTTAGGGTTCTCCCTCAAGAAGAAGAAGGACTGGTTTGATGAAAACAATCAAGAGATCCAGGAATTGTTGAGGAAGAAGAGAACCACTCACCAAGCACACCTTGCACTGCCGTCTTGTCAAGTAGGAAAAGCAGCCTTTCGTCTCGCATGCAACAGGCTCCAACAGAAACTCTGTGACATCCAGAACAAGTGGTGGATCGATCTAGCTGAAAAAACTCAATTATGCAGATACAGGTGATCACAAAGGATTCTATGAGGCCTTGAAAACAGTATACAGGCCTACATACCAGGTCCAAAGCCCTCTACTCAGTGCGGATGGCCAAATGCTTCTAACAGATAAAACCTCCATTCTGAATCGTTGGTCTGAACACTTTCGGACTCTCTTCAGTACCAACCGTGTAGTCCAAGACTCAGCAATTCAGTCCATCACACAACAACTGGATTGTCCCCAATATCCCACAACAACTGGATATTGCCCCCACTTTGGGAGAAACTCTTAAGACCATACAGCAGGTGAAAATCAGCAAGGCAGCTGGGGTTGATGGAATTCCACCTGAAGTCTGGAAACATGGGGGCCAAGCACTCCATGCCAAATTTCACGAGTTTCTGGTGTGCTGTTGGGAACTCGGCGAACTACCATCAGACCTTTGTGATGCAGTCATCATCACTTTGTGTAAGAAGAAAGGAGTCAAATCAGACTGTTCAAATTACCGTGGTATTACTCTGCTCTCCATTGCTGGCAAAATCCTGGCAAGAATACTCTTGAACAGACTAATACCTGCTATAGCAGAAGGAATTCTACCTGAAAGCCAGTGTGGTTTCAGAGCCAACAGGAGTACCACAGACATGGTATTTGTTCTCAGACAACTGCAAGAGAAGTTTAGGGAACAGAACAGAGGTCTCTATGTAACCTTTGTTGATCTCACCAAGGCTTTCCATACTGTGAGCAGAAAAGGTCTGTGGCAGATTTTGGAATGTTTAGGTTGTCCCCCCAAGTTCCTTAAAATCATCATCTCACTCCATGAGGATCAGCGCGGACAAGTCAGAAAGGAAGAGCCTCTTAGCCTGTTTTTCCAACAGTAATTTCTTAACACATGATGATTTTCCATTGGATTTGCCAGCGAGACTGACACCTTTATTGCAGTTACACCCCTGCACGACTCATGCAGACTCTTCGGTACCTGGATAAAGACCATGTAGCTTCCATAACACTCAGAAAAACAGAGGTCATGGAGCTTGTAAAATGGCCACAGAAGGTTAAACAAAGTCACTTATGAATGATAAGAAGAAGCCAGGAAAATATTTTGGTTCTGTGCATAACTTATTCCTTACTATTTTCTTATAACTATAAAAATTCAATGTCTGAACACTTACAGAAAGCACATTTTGGCTGTACATTCAAAAGCTAGTCACCCTGATTTCATTAGGAAGGGTAGTGCACACCTTCTGAGGAGCTCAGTAGGATTTCAGAAAAACTGAGGAGAAAAGCAGCTGGCATTACTGATACTTCTAGAGTAGAACATAAGAAATAAGATTAAAGTAACCTTCTTTGAAAACAAACACTCTCATAACCTCTTTTTAGAACACAGAGCACCTAGAAACCTCACTTTTTGATTGACTGTTTTGCAAAATTCCTTCTGTATCACTTTTTATATGATACATGTATATATCTCACTGCAGCCAGGGATAAATCATATATATCTCTACAGCTGGTGCTGCTTTTGTTTGTGTAAAACCTTGGTTGTAGACTGAAATGATAAAAAGATGAACGTTTAGTGCTGGTTACAGATAAGAGTGCAACAGTGCTTCAGAAGAGACATAAAGTGTTTGAAGTTGATGAGAAAGTTGAACATATGTAAACTCAAAACCCAGCAACCCCTCAGCCCCACCTGCCAAGCCTTTTTTTTTTTTCTGCTTCTCCCCTGCTGTGTACACAGAAAAAACACAAGAACAGTTCAACAATTAACAACAATCCTTTCACATAAATCAACCATTATCCTTTGAAATAATGTGGATATATTAATTCTTCAAAGCAAGATACGGGACCAAATAATTTTTGCAAAAAAAAGCTGTGATCTGTTACAGACACCCTTCAAAAGCCATGAGCTATGTATGAAAACAAGTGAACATTAAGAGTTCAAAATTCCTCATTCTTATGAACATGTGGAGAAAACACATTTAATAAGTGTTTGAGTTTTTTAGGTTGGACTTTGCAAACACTCTCAAGGTGTCAGGATGAATTGTTCATCTGTTTAAGGCAGGAATGTTTTTTGACCATCTTCTTGGAGGATGGACAAAATTTGTCTCAAATTCAAAATGAGACATCAAAGACAAAAACATGCACGTGGTGCTATGAGATAGGAATTTGCCACGTTCTCATTAACAATCCATCTCTTGGTGTGACAATGACTTGAAATAGAAAGATGCAGCTGTATTTTTTGTTTTGCCTGATTTTTGAGTGTAAATTTCTGAAGGCAGAACAAGGAGAGGATCCAGTGTAGAAGATACAGCCATTTAGGCAATGAACATGTTTTAAAAATTGGAATTTTAGTCATGCTGGCATTCTGGATGAGGCAGCCTGCTCTAGCATATAAATGATATAATTCACTAGTGTTAACATCAGTACTTTCCAGGATCACAAAAGCTTGGAGGACACTGTAGAATCCTCTTCACAAAACTGCAGTCTGGCTAAGCTGCTTTACAAAATGGACAGATTCTGTTAATTCAAAATTTAAGACAGTGAATCACTCATTTTGGCACTTGTTTGGCATGTGCTAGAAAAACAAATTACATTTTTTGTTCCTGTCGATGGCTGGCTTTCATAGCAGCCACAAGAGACCAAAATCCCCTGCTGAGTGTTTGCTGGCTTGTTCTCAATATCCATCACTGTTCATCCCCTGTAAGCCTGACTCTGTTTCAAGCAAAATGAGGTCAACCTGACCTAAGCAGGACATATGAAGCCAAGTGTTTTGGGAATCTCCTCCAGAGCACACTCAAGTCAGCAAGCATCCTTCTGCTGGCTGCCATGGGCATTAGATCAGTCCTTGAATAACTTAGTTCCTGCAGAGAAAAATTCATCTGTGATCCTTGGCTCTATAAACAATACCTTCTACAAACAGTCTCACTCCAGAGAAAACTATTTTACAAGGCTTTATTTTCCCCTGTTTCTTTTACCTTGATTACAAATATCGTATCATTTTCTATTCAAGTTGACCAAAACATCATGAACAACATTCCCCTTCCGCAGCTCATTTATAACTAGCTCCAGAATGTACCACCTTGGGTCAGTTGAACATTTACCAAGATTCCTATTATCTTTTATTTGCCAAGCATTATTTAGGCCTCTGTAAGAGCTTTCTTCAATTGCTGACAGTCCCTTGCCACCTCCAATCTATTTTACACATCACAATCCATCAGGAACATGACAAATTCTCTTCTCTTCCTACTGTAGCTTTTTTGCTGCCATTTCATTATCTTTAGGTTAAATTGAAGCAGCACTGACTATTTCTGTGCATTTGAGTTTTTTCTGACATGTAAGGAAAACACACCTTGCTTCCATTTTCTTCCTTCCACAGGACATATGAATTTAAAATTTCACCTTTATTTATTTCCTCAGGTATAGCATTTACCAAGTAAATTCTTTCTCCTATGTTATTTTATAAAACACAGAAAAAAAAGGAAATTCCGTTTACACATGTAAATCATACAGATAAAAATTGCAAGCATTTGGTAAATATTATGAGGTATAGAACCATATTTTTACTTAAATACTTTTAAAAGGACAAGAGAAAAGAAGTGGTATCTAGTTTATGGAAATAGATTCAACAGTAGCTGATGCAGTATTAATCTCCTCTCAAATTCACAATTACAAATTAGTTACTTTACAACTTTGTTCAACAACTTTTGAGGGATTCCACAGACTCTGGCATGATTGCATTATGCCATGACTCACAGCTAATGAATGTTTTCCAGTTCTCACTTTCACAGAAATAAAATTCATGAATGAAGTGATTAGTTCCTAAAATAAGTTTTCCTTTCTAGTATTACAGAATCATTTTAAAACTGACCATGATCAAACTGTCAATGAGCTAATTAACATGATTACTTTGAATTTATATATATATATATAAGTTATAGTAATTAGAGTTGATTATATATATAGTCATAAGTCTTGGTTATATATATATATGTTAGAGTCAATATTTTCTATTAATTATTTCATTAATTTACTGAGAAGGGAGGGAAAATGACAGTCACCTCTACCTTCCAGTCAACAACAGAGAAAATTCTTTAACTATTATTTGAAAAGCCATGGAATTATTTGAAATAACATTCTGAAACCTGAACGGTGCTACTTGTCCAGTTTGGGGATATACTATCAAATCAAGACAAAGTTCCACATGAGTACGTTATGCCAGATTCCATCTCTGCTCAAATGCTCCAATTTACACGTGGTAAAACTGCAAGAAATAAGATTTTTGCTGTTCTGACAAAAAAGCAAGGAAAAAAATTAATGGCTCACTGTATTTTAATGTTAAGTTTGTGGAAATCTCAGTCAATGATAAGATTAAATCTAAACTCTATGAATGAGGAGTGAGAACAAGCGTTTTGTTTTCTTTTCACCCCTTCAATTTATTAGTCATTCCTAAGAGCTTTGTCAACAAGTGACCCCATCAAAGGATTTTATGCCTCTTCAGACTGTTCTTACACTTCCAAAACACTACTGTAGCTCTTTTCAGCAGCTCTCTGCCAGCTACTGAAGATTTTTCTACTACTTCAGTTTCTCTCTTCACCAAATCCTGTTTTTTTCACCAGCTCAAAGGAAATTACCAATGCTTCAGTGAAATCAAAATATGCAAAACCTGACAGTTAAAAAACCCCAACCAAACACCTCCCTATGCCCAACACATTTTGCTAACTATTGAGTTTGTCTTTATTTCCAATTTCAGCAGCTGAAATTTCCTATGTGTTCGTCAGCCATGTGGAAAACCCCGGCACCATCGCTTCATTTCTGTGCCTAATTAGCTGCACAAAAACAGAAAATCACCTCTCAAGTTGCTCTTTGACAAGCTCTGTTATTATTTTGAATATATTCCTCTAACAAGTACCAGCAGTGGTGTTAAAATTTCTATTCAGCACACGTTTATCCATTGGTGCACCAGAAAAACCTTTTTTTACAAAAATCCATAAATTAGCACTATATTTCTTTTATTTACAAGAAGCAGCAAATCTACTATTAACTTCTTATCAAATCTCCCACAAATAAGCCTATTTTATTATTGTGACAAGGCTTAATTCAGCTATGAACACTCTGTTTTGACCTACGTTGCCCTGAAAAAGTGAACCAGAGAACATTTGATTAAGTGATAGCTTGAATGGATTTAACCTTTTTTACCAGTTTGCAATAAAAATGCAATAATAACATCCTTTCCCTGTTATTTCTGTATTAGCATTAGAAATCCTAAGAATATTCTTAAAGTCACCTCTAGAATGCTCCAGTAGAAGCACTAATAACCTTTAAGAAAAATCCTGTGTTCCCTAAAATGCTCTGAAGTAATATTTTACCATCTGCTTTCCTCTACAAGAGCAATGGGGGTGATTATAATTCAATTACAGACGAAGGAACGATAGGTGCAAGAGACATTCTTTCTTGTCTTTGCTAGAAGAAATCAGATCTGACTGTCAAGGGCTTGTACAAATGTGTAAAAATTGCATCCATATGTTATTTGCTTTTGCTTTCTTCCACAACAACACACTGAGTAGGCTGAGCTGTGTTGTGCACTGTGCTATGGCAGTCAGAACTTATCCATTTTCAAGTCTTCAAGTATGTTTCCATTATGCTTCCTAATAAATCCCCAAATAAAGTCAGTCTGATATGATGGCAGACCAGTTCAGGATAGCTGCTTTCCAGGATTGTTGCCAATGTACAGCCTGGATCTTTAATTTGTTAAAAAAGACTTCACAAAAGTTGGCAGGGCACGGGGTATAAAACAAGGGCTCCTGAAAGCTCAGTGCCAGCCTGTTCAGACCACAGTGTAGTGAACCACCTGTGTTTTTCTAGATTGTCTGTATTATGTACTGTTTCTTTATCCAATATTTACTCCTTCAATCAAAATGATTTTCTGTGAACTCATCAGCATAATTAGAAATACAGGAGATGTGTGTTCCTTTTTAAGTCACCTGGAACCTAATCCTTGCCTGTGGGTTGGCTGAACCAGGTGCAGAGCACATAAGGCAACCAACATTTACCTGTCACTAAGAAAAAATGCATTACCCAAAGGTACCTGCAGAATTAGGATACTTGGAAGAACAAACTGGTTACTGGGAAAATGTTGGTTACCTGGGAAAATGTTGGTTACCTTTGAAAACTTCGTGTTTTATTGTTAAGTGGGATAATAACCCATATATCAGTAACACATTTGGAAAACCAAAGAGGTTTGAAAAGACTTTTTCCAAAGCATCAGTTCCAGAGCACAGCTAGTTCAGCAAATAATCAGATTTGAGGATGAAACTTCTATTCCCCAACGAGAGCAGGGGTTGGGAAACATTTATCTAGTGACCATACACACAGTAATCTACGGATAAAGAACACGATGAGAATGAAATCAGGAGTCTGTTGCCACAGAAGGGTGGTAATGGCATTATGGAGAAAAGTCACAGACACCTCTGACACATAAGAAGGAAAATGTGTTCTCTTTAGAACAGGAGTTCACATTGTGTCCTGGGAGCAGCTCTCACATGCCCAAGATGATTCTTCAGGTATTTTCTGACAGCTATTTGACTGAGACTCCATTATGCTTAGGAATCACTTCTCTGGAATTTATGACATTACAAAATGAAGAAGACTGCTGAATACCATGTTCTAGCTAGACAGAAACTGTCCCAATCTTTCCAGCAGAATTTGAACTTTTCCAGCATTTGTGATAAACACATTAACTTTTCTTTTTAAACGACACCTTCACGTGAATGAAGCCCAGGACAAGCTCCCACTCCCACGCAGAAGCAGCAATGCCAGACTTCCACCAGAAAAGCTCCTTAGGTCACCTCTGCTTAGGCAGAGAAGAGAGTTTCACTCTCCAAGGAAAATATATACAATATCCAACCTAGTTTGGATCAGCAGGGGACGTCTGGAGTCTTCTCTGCAGCAAAACCTTTTGATATGTATACCCTGCCAGTAAAAACAAACATCTACCTCATGCCAGCTTTACTAACAGCACAGTTTTGCAGACAGAAATAAGACCAAATTGAGGGGGAGCACCGGAGACTTTCAGTGAGAAAAATTATATGATGTTCTTTCTGTAATAGAAACAACTCCCTTAGTATTCTTTTCAACCAGATTGAAATAAAGTAAGAAAAATCCCTGTTTCTAATGACTCTCAGCATAGCTGTGAGATACATTTGTTTGTGAGGCAATCTGTGTAAGAACATGTATTTTAAAGCATGCAGGAGACAGTCAACCTTTGACAAAAAACAGTTCACAACTTTAACACAGCCAAACTAGTGCTCTGCCTGTAATAGTAATAATCCTTTCTTTGCTGTTTCTTAAGCACCAAAGAAGGGGAATTACAAGGATGACTGACTCTTTGGTTCCTGTGTTTAAATATCTAACTGAAAAGTCAGGCTGCTAACCAAGGAAGAGAGCATTAGCTTCAGGTCAATATACACACTACTGAGCATGGCAGGGTATTATACAATGCAAAATTCTTATTATCTTCTTCTTAATTCTTGTAAATTTGCATCAAATTCAGCAGTATATATTTCTACTATACCAGCAGAATTAAGGCGAAAAAAAGACCCTGATCCATTCAAAGAAATCCATTAAGGACTAGACCTTAAGATAACATTACAAAGTAACAGAAATAATTTTTGCAGTAGCTACTTCAAATTTGACTTCAAATGTTATCATCGTACATTTTAAAATCCAAGTTATCAGGTGATTTGTCATTACTGAAATAGTGCATAAATATATATATATTCGAGACTTACACACCAATTTCAGTTATCTTTTTAAGTAAATGCTTCTCAAACCTGATATAAAGAGGGAAAAACACTAGACAAAGAGAGACACATTAACCATATATACCTACAAAGCTTCTCTTCTTTAATAATGGGAAAGAGTAGAGGGGAGCAGCAATATCTGTTCTTACTTTTTAGCCAAGTTCCAGTAGTATATGAATATCTGTAAACCACAAACAGTAAGTACCTGGCAAAAGTATTTGAATACCTCTGAATTAAATAAAATCTTTCTCTTTATTGGCTTTAGCAGTGAAAGAGATCTGCCTAATTCAGAGTCAGGCTTTTTGGTTTTCCAATAAGAACTGAAAAGATGATTTATTAAAAAAAAAAACAAACCAGCAAAATCAGTGCCAGAAATATCGGAAGTCCTGAACCAGGACTTCTGCCTGTGCTTCTCCACCTGGGCTGGGTGCAATCAGCAAATTATCAGCCTCTGTCTCCCTCATCCCTCATCTCACTGCCTTCCTGACTTCCTTAGGAGAAAGAAACCAGACAACATAAGGCTCTAAACACAGCCAGAAGAAAGGCAGAAAGGAAGAAATAAAAGAAAACAAGTTCCCCACTTCCCATCTATATCTCATTCTCTCACTTCAGCTATTTTTCTATCACATCCAGAACTGTGACTTCTCCCTGTAACTTGCCAACGAGCCTCCTCCATCCAATTGTGTTTTCCTGCCTTGTAGTCACAGCTGGGACAAGGCAGCACTTTGGTTTCCTCTTAAGTCTGTGCATACTATGTACAGAAGAATTCTTTATTAATTTGCATTGAAAATATAGTGGATGGCCTTTAGAATAGACCTACCTTGCCATAAGATACTGAACTGGTGTCAAGCACAACCACAAGTCTCCACTGAATTTACAGCAATGATAACCAAGGCAAAGGTTTTTTTATTCGGGAGGGGAACAACCCTGTGACACCTGAAGTCTCAGGGAGTATTTTAGATCTTGTTCTCTAAGACTTTCTCCTGTGCTGTATGAAGCTTTGCACAGAGAAAGTTAATATTGACATAGAAAAAAAGTACAACAGTCTGTATTTTGAGAATTGACAGGGGAAAACTTTTGTCTTCTCTCATATTTATTGAGTTGCTGCATTTGAGAACAATATAGTTTTGTGCACTCTACATAACAAAAACTACTAAAAATGGTTTCATTTAGTTATCACTCTACCACAGCAAAACCCCCCACCCTTTATGACTAAATTCCAGTGAAAATCTCATAAATTAATTTCAAAGTATGCTTGCATAAATCACAGTTTGTTAGATCTATAGAGCCTAGCAGTCCATGAAAATAGAGATCCCAAGTTGAAACTAGAAGGTATGTGCTAAAACCACCCCTGAAGTTAATGATGTCCAAACCACATGACACTACAAACCATTTTCCGCCGGTGAAACAAGAAACCCAAGTTTCAGAAGGACAAGAATCAGAAGGACAAACTCATGAAAGAAGGGTAGGCTTTCAGTTTGGCACCTTGGAAGTAATTGAAGAGTGCCCTAAAGTGCCCTAAAATGTAATATGATATAATAGACACCAATTTAAAAGACTACAAATGTTCTTCTGCAGTAAACTCATGATCATGAGTTATAAAATCCACAGTGTTCTGCTGCTTGTACTTCAGCATCAAATCTTTACTTGGTCTCTGGGTGACGTTAATGAGGAGAATGTATTCCCCCACTATCAAGCTCAATTTGAAAGAAATCCCAGCCTTACTTTAAGCTAAATCAATTTTTAGTTCTTTCACTGTTGCTTCCTTCTATCAAAACGAAGAAAAAAAAAAAAGGCCCATTCACAGGAGCTAGAGGAATAAAACCCACAGAGCAGTCAGCCTCACTGTGATGGAAATAAGTGAAAATTAATGGAGAAATACTTATAAAATAGTAGGTCATCAAAACACACACACACACACACACACACACACACACACACAAAAACCACAACAAAAAAAACCCACAAAAAACCCCAACCAAACAAAACAAAACAAACAAAAGACAACCCCCCCACACAGGGTATACTGAAAAAAACCATGCCAGAAAAATCAAATTCCATGATGGGATAATCACTGGGATGGAATCTAGGGAAATGGCTGACCACAGCCAGCCAAAGGCAATGTGACTTCACTGCACTGCCTTGGTCCCTTGGTCCTTTTGGGAATGTATTGCTGGCTTCCAGCAGTCCAGAGGATCTTTGGAAATTCTTAGAGTTGATGTGTAGCAGGGCAGACAAAGAACAAATTGCTCTGGTGACCTTGTTCATTTCTAGTACAAAAGTTCAGGCTTCCTTAGAGGTTAATAAAAGATGTGATATTCTAGATGTGACATTTTATATAGAAATATTTTTAGCTTAAAGAAAAACAGTATTGCTTGAAGCACATTGTTAAAAAGAAAAGAAAGTCCACCCACATTTTTGTAAGCTAAACCAGCAGCAATGAAATTAAACAAACTAATGACCCCAATCAGTTATTTCAGAGCATGGTTCCCTGGGAAAAAATTGCCCCATTTAACACTAATGGACTGACCACACAGGCACACTGACATTTTGGCAGGTGACAAATAAAAAGGCTGTTTATATTATGTATTCCATCTGGGTACATTTTACACATACACGTATAACCTCAGGTGGTAATCAAGCTCACTCAAATTTCCTACTGGTAATGTAAAAGTTTCTCCTATTTAGACAAACTATAGTGTGCAGAAATTAAGGTTTCGAAAAGAGAAGACAGCCTCAGGGTAACACCAGGGTAACACCAGTGCTTTTCCTCAGGGAGAGAGCAATCAGTTCAAGTCAGATCACCTAAAGATACATACATTTCATCCAGTGGAATGACAAAATACACACATAAGGAATTACTTTATTTCTTTATGATAGCAGCACTAGTGTCATCAAAACCCAAGGTCATGCCAAAATTGCAGTCATGGGTGTGCATACACACGTGCACCCCCCCCTCCCCTAGAGACAGAATCTTGAATGAACTGAATTAAACACAAAAGAATGTAGAGAAGTAACCAGTTTTGGGTTACATCTTTGAGAACAAAGTGAATAAGTCAAGGATTTTCACCAAAAGCAGGTGAGTCTACACAATCCTAAAGAATGAATAAATCACCAGTATAATGTACCATACACTTAGTCCCCCAACAAGATTAGGTTTCCGTGCTGCTTGCTGCTCACTGTGACATTTAAAAACTCTTAAGTACCAAAGCCCAAATGTGGGCACAAAGAGCACAGCTCCCAGTGAAACTGCCCCCAGTTACCCAAGAGGTCCCCAGCCCCCCGGGGATGATGATCTAGACAGGTACATCCTCGGGCAGTACAAGACTGTCACCCTGGAAGGTAGAACTCAAGCAAGAAAGACACAGAACTTCCTCACGTGGCAGCCTGAGACTGTGAAATGCTCCTGCAGTGTTTATTGAGTACAAACTTCCCTGCTAAATGTGAATGGATCTCTGCAATCCATACAAGGCAGAGACGGGAACGGAAAACAGATTTACTTTGGAACAACAGGAGTCACGCTGAGCCACCTTTCAGTCTGCCTGAGCCACCCACCCATCTCTCACCAGGAATATCTCCGGATGAAAGAAAAAACATGTTCCTCCTTGTTCCCAGGCAATGTTATTACACTAAACAGTGGCTCAGGGGAAGCTACAGCTTCTCTACACATCTCACATGCGTGGTGGAAAGCCCTGGAAAACTAGTAAGCACTGGAGGAAGAACAGAGACTGACAGAAATGAAATTATTTTTTTTTTAATCAAGTTAACAACTACCTCCTCCACTGGACAAGTAATATTCCTTCAACACCTCATCTGAACAGTTAGTATCCAGCTTGTCTTCGTGCAGTCCACCCTGCCTAAAATCCTCTTGGCTTGGAGAGTCTATTTCTAGAGCAAAGAAGCATTTTCTCCTCAGAAGTGAATTTTTTTTCTGCAATACAGCTGCTCAGTCTACACCTTCCAGAACTTCATGGGTTAAGCAATGGGACAACCTTAAGATTTCAAAAAAGAAAAAGTAAACTTGGATATTTAGTTGTTTGCTATTTAGATAGTGCTGTAAGTTCCTCAAAGGGGCAGTGGGTAGCTGTGGAGGGTGGACTACTGCATTCAAGAAGAATCTCTGCTCCTAATTCAAAATATTTCAGGACAACCTTTTCCCACAAGTAGGAACAGTTCCCAGGGATCCACAGAAGAAAATCCTGTGGGATTTCCATGGGTTCAGCAGTCCTTTCCAGACATACAGCAGCTTGTTCACCTGGCAGCAGTGCAGGGAAGGAGTTGTGCTGTGCTCCACATCTCCAGTTGCCCTTCTCAGGCTGTTGCAGGTGCCCAATTTTGATAATACAGACATTTATAAGCTGCTTTTGTTGTTGCTTTTTCAACATGGAGAAAAAGGAAGGTTGCTATTGAGGATGCCTGACATGTAGAAAATTTTCTTTTCAATTAGAACCTCAATTAGAACCTATTTTAAAATTTCTATGCATAACACATCAGACTGACTGTTACAGAAAAGAAAGTCACTTCTATTTTAATACATTCCCTGAATAAGGAATAAATAATGAGATAAATACAAAAGTAATCAGAGAGGCAAGCAATGGTGCTACCTTTGAGATGTCTGGAGGCCACAGATAGCTTCCTTGGGCGCTTTACCATGGGTGGAATATCCTTAGGCAAATGCTCTGATTATTCCCAGAGAAGGACAGACTCAGCTCTCTGTGAGTAAGTGGACATCCTGCCTGGAAAGCTGGGAAAGTGTGTGCAGCTTTATCCCTTTCCTCCTGATTTTATAACCTGTCACAATGAAGAATCTTCTATAACTTTGTTAAAACTTTTACCTCCCAGAAAATGCAGATCAAGAAATGCCTTATGCTTAGCCATGGGGAAAACTGTAATGACATAAATGCAATGTAAAATGTTTAAAACCTTATTAGTAGACAATCTTTATTGGAAAACTCATGAAAATACAGAAAGCTGTCACTCTTGGACCTGAATTACTATAGAAAAAAATTCTGCCTGTTTTTCAAAGGTATTCAGAGAAAGCTAATAAAATAGTAAAGTCTCTAACTCTTTTCTGAAGGAAAAAAATCTGAAAAAAAAAAAGTTAAAAATGAGTATTAAAGAAAGACCAGCACTGCCGTGAAATTGTTAGAAAAAGGATTTTGGTGAAGCACATTTCACACACCGAGTTTTTTTGTGAAATATATTCTTCCACGTACTAGGAAGTCAGCTCACTTGGCTTGATAGTACTTGATCCCCCTTGTCCCAAATATCATGAAGTGGTGCCCAATACTAGGATTTTGAATACAAGTAAGGGACTTTTTTCTCATTCATATGCAGACTTTTATATCAATGGAAATTCTGTTTCATTGCTGAAATATCAAGAAGACACGAAACACAGCGCAGAGGGTTTTTTGTGCCTAATTAGGGAAAACCTAATTAGGTTCTTTTTCTGAGTTCTGTGAAGTGGCTGTAGAATCACACATAACGGAAGCATGAGGCAATGGAATAATAAACAAGAAAACAAATAAACAGTACATCAGAAGGCCGAAAAATCTTTACCGCAGTGACTATGGTAGTGCTGTAATCGAAATTTGGTGGATGTGGTCTTACAACTGGAATGCTGAAGTTAGTGGTTAATTCAGAAATCTAACACCAAAGAAATGGTGCCTTGAAGTAGAATTAACCTCACAGACAGAGAGGGTCAAAGGCAGTAACACTTGCTGAAAATTAAAGTAAAAACATACACAGATAGGAGAAGTCAGCGGGCCAGGTCATCAGCCCAGCAAAGCACACAGTTTGAAGGGGTGTTTAGTTTCAGAACTGAGAAATGAAGTGATTGGCAACCAAAAGCTTTGGAATAAAAATTAAGTTCCAGGCAGCCTCCTGCCCATGTACCTGTGACACCAGTCTGTCAGGGCTGGCTGAGGATGCCAGGGAATGGCTGGTGCTGGGTTTTAATGGGGAGCGGTGAAATCTTGTGATTTTTGCCAGGAATGAGCAAAAAAGTGACACTTTTTGGAAGGTGGACAACACAGGAACGTCTGCCTGGAAACCTTCTCCTGCAGAGCAGCAGCTGCTGTAAAGATTGCATGGGGGTACAGCAGGCATGGGAAGCCTGTTTTCATAAACTGAAATGTTCTCTGAAACCCAAACATCTGCATATCTGAAACACCAGCTGTAAGACAGCACTTCTAGACCTCAATCCCTTTAAAGCAGAGCACTTGAGTTTCAAAGGGACCAACCACTCCCCTCACTCCTACCAATCTGCTGAGCAGTGACGCTAAATGTTACCAACCCTTTCTTGGGCATTTCAAAAATAGGAACCCTACAGAAAGGCTGAGGCCAGAAAGACAACATTGAACTGACACAGCACAGGTAAGAGTGAGGTTTTGCTGAAAACCAAGTGATGGCAGCCCCATGAGGCAGCCAGGATCAAGCAAGCTCAAAGTCAGAAGACCGTGGTAGGAAGACCAGCACGTATCTGGCCCCACTGCTTTCACTGCTTTAAAGGCAAGGCTGGGCTCCAAGTCGAGAAGTATTCCAAGCTGGTTGATAAAAACAGAGGACTGAACAGCTGGAAGTCAAAATTTGGCAAGTTAACCACAAGTTAATATACAATTAAGTAGCATAAGGAAACATAAAAGATAGTGAGATAGGATGTGGCTGCCAAAGTAGAGGCACTAAGCACTGTTTTTGATGCCCTGGAGCATTCCTCACTCGACAGCCATCTGTCACTCAGGAAGAAACCATTTTCCCACAGGTCCTGACTCACACCTGCAAGTCGAACACTGACATCTCATATTCCCAGGCACCTCATGCCCTAGAAGTCTGCCTAGAGGAAAGACCAACTTCTAGGAGAAAACATCTGTTTATGATCCATGAGGACTGATCTTTCAAACTGACAATTGATAGAGCTATAAACCCTTTTGGCCTCTCCTTTCTCATGCTTTCTTGGAGAAGGCAGAAATTTTTGTGTTATTCTCTACACATTCTGAGCACTTTATGGATTGAGCATATCACTAAAGTGAGCCAGGAAGCCTTTGCTTTTCCATACTATGTAAAATCTGTTTTTTTCTGCCCTTCTCTGTGGCATTTTAGACCAGCAGTGAATGAACTGCATGGTATGGGTCACAGCCCCCTGACACTACAAAACCTCTCATGTCCAGAGTCACTGATCTGGGGGTAGGAAGGAATTCTACATTTGGTGAAAAACACAGGATTTTTTGCTTTCTCTTTGTACAAGAAGTGATTTACCTGCTCAAACAATCTGGTATATCTTACAGTATCAATTCCTTGCCAATGTGAGGACCTTCAGGCACTGGCAGCACTCCTCTTCTTTGCTCATGGCAGCTTCTGGCCTGAGGAATGATATTAAAAATATAGATTCTAGAACACAATTCTTCAGGATGCCAAAAGTTCCCACTCTATGGCTTCCATAAATGAATGCCTACCTTCATGGAGAGTAAAGAAAAAAAAACAAAAGGTTGTGGGCTGTAATGCCATTAAGCAAATATAACGTCCACTTACTCAATAATTAAATTGCACACAGTCTTTAACATTAACAGAATCTTGCCATTATGACCAGAAATTATCTGGCAAAAGTGCATCTGGAATATTTCAAAACATCTAAAGAAGTGACCATTTGAAGCTACTGCATACGATGCATCAAACTTACTTGGAAAAGACAAAATGTCCCCTATCTGAAGGCAATTTTTCTGTGATACGCAGACTGAACACAATCCTGAGAAACCTGTTTCCATGCTTAAGTTCTTAAACTTTAATTTCTTCACTACCTTTCTTTTGAGGAATTTTACTTTGCTCTGCATTTGCAATAGAAGACAATATATTATATATATTACAGTAGAGTGATCAGTGACAGAATCCCAGGAAATGGCCTGAAGTTCCTCAGGGTAGGTTTAGGTTGGATCTCAAGGAAAGGTTCTTCTCCTAGAGAGTGGTTGGGCACTGACCAGGCTCCCCAGGGCAGTGGGCACAGCACCAAAGCTACCAGAGCTCCAGGAGGGTTTGGACAATGCTCTGAGGGACAGGGTGTGACTCTTGGGGATGGGCCTGGGCAGGGCCAGGAGTTGGACTCAATGATCCTTGTGGATCCCTTCCAACTCAGCATATTCTATGATTCTCTGACAGTAGATTTTCACATATTTTCATTAGTAGTTACATTTTAGAGCAGTGTTACATTAATAGAAATTAAACCTAAGGATGGAAAAGAGTGACTATTAACTATTCCAGCTTCTATATCTTCAGCTGAAAGTTCTCTGGCATGTGCTGGCATGATCTGATCCTAACCCAGTTACTTAATGTGTGAATTTTTCTGAAGAAAAAAATAGTTAAAGTAAGTATGCATATTTACTTAGGAATCAGGTGTAGTATATATTCCTGATTTACTGCTCTTTGCAATTTAAGGTGCTTGTAATGTCTTAAAAATTTTAAAACAAAATTAGGTACTGAATGACATGCATATATTGCAACAGAATAGTTTCTAAGCTACAAACAAAACTGACTAAAACAATATTAATGCTTCTCTCCACTTTTATTCTTCAAAAGAATGAATACAAAGGCATTTCCAGTCAACCAACCTGGTGTTCCAGAATCACCATCCCTCACAGATGATTCGAAGTTCATCACATTGAGAGAAAATACCCTTTCACTGACCACAGTCACAGAATTATGGGCATTCCACTACCCCAGCAACATATTAATCACAGGTTCCAGCCTAAATTTCTTGGCAGTCTACAAGATGAAAGACAAGCACAGTTAATGGTGTTGAACATGTTGTGGGTTTAGTTACCAGCATGAATTTCCATTAGAAATAGGGAAAATTAAGAGGAAAGGAATAGTTGGAGAAGCAAAGCAAGGAAGGGCAATGCATCTGATCACACTCAGACATAACAGGGACTCACAGGTAGAGAGTCAGAAGGAGTCATGTGGGACATTTAGAGGGAGGGCACAGAAATGGGTGGACAGTTCTATCAGACTGATTTTTCCCTTATACACAAGGGTAGACATGGAAAAAAGTAAAAAGATATTTATGGGTGAAGTGGCTGAGGAATCCTGTGAACAAGGGGGAAACTAAAGTGAAAAGTGGGCTTTACAAAGAGAATTTTGTGTAAAGAGAAATTGCTCTTAAAGCTTCAAGTGGGAGAAGACAAAAGCTAAAGACAAAAGCCAGGTTGGACAGGGCTTGGAGCAACCTGGTCTGGTGGAAGGTGTCCCTGCCCGTGGCAAGGGGTGGAATTTAGGTATTCTTTAAAGGTCCCTCCCGACCCCAACCATCCTGTGATTCTGTGCAGAGGTTGGAGTCAAGATGATGATGTTCCTATGGCAAGAAAGAGAATGTATTAAAGAGTCCTACAGAAGTTGAAGCACAAAAAGTTAAGAACATAGCTGAGTTTTGATGAAAGAAAAAAAGTACAGTTCCAGCAAAACAGCTGTGCCCCATTCTTCCACGCTTACAAGAGGAAAAAGCTGAAAAAATAATAACCATGCTGGAGGCAAGAGTGGCAGGAAAAATAGGGGAGTGCCGTCTAAAATGACAGATACTAGGAGATGAAAACAGTAGCATTTCAGGAAGATTTTGCCTCGATGAATGATGTATTTTTTAGCTACTAATAATTAATTAGATTAGGATCATCTTCCTAGCTCCAACACATTAACTCCAGAGCAACTGAGACATCCTCCTCAATTCCCTTGCCTCTACCTTACTGTTCTCTCTCACACATTTCTGTTACCCTCTCTTGTGCCTCACTTCCCTTCAGGACCTCTGCACAACCCAAACAGAACAGCACCCCCACAACCACAGGGAAAGAAGGCGGCACAGCAGCTTCAGAAACCATCACATTTGTCTGAATTTTAGAAAACTGCAAGTTGTCAAGTTTGCCTTCGTTACAGGGACTTTATTCCATCATCCTCCTGAGTACTGCAAAAATCCCATGAAGAGTTCCCCAGATAAGCCCTGTACTGAAACACTCTGTTCTGCTGTAGGAGTGGGACTAGAGAGATTTACAACAGTCATAATACACCTTTAAAAGGCCATTTTACATGTGAACTGTGACAGTTCAGAGAGACTTGTTATGCCTATGGTGTCGAGTCAGGAAAATAAATTGATCTAGTTTGTGGATGAAACAGTAGGTGGCAAGTACAAAAACATAAAGAACCACCGAAGAAAAAGACGCTCTTAAATTGGATAAATGCAGGATCGGGTGTGGGAGTTGATGGCTGAAAGAAATGCTGAGACATCCTGGACAAACTGAGCAACCCATATCTGGAAACACATGTGTTTGCTTAACAAAATATCAATGCTGTAAAATGCTTTGAAAATGTATTGATTGCAGAAAACATCAAGCAGTAATACCCAAATCCTCTGTTTTCCTTCAGATTTCATAATGACAGATAAACTTTCTCAGGGCTTTAGCAAGCAAAAATAGATAAACCACTTTCTTGTGCAAACCACACGAATTCATCTCTGCGCTCACATTTTGTCTGAAAGAATGCCAACACTGTAAAATAGAGCAAAATATCAAGAGAGTTAATTTTTTTTAAGAGTACATTTATTCTGTGGACAATAAATATCGAGACTGAACAGGATATGGAATTTCCTTCACAGACTTAGAAAATTGTTTTAGGTAGATTCATGGCTGCCAGGCCACGGTTGAAGGCATGTTGTGTTGTAGGACAGATGAAAAAACCCCCAGTGCTCACTCACTGGTCTGCCCATCATCTTAGCAGGATAAAGGACAACTGAAAGGCTGGGAAATCAACACAATGTTTGGCTTCAAAATGCAATAGATGATGTAGACATGTGGCCCATACTAGAGGATTATCTTCACTCCTTTTAAAAGGACGACTAATACTTATTTGTTTCTTGTATATTTAGTTATAAAGCAAAGGGAAAGGATGGGAAAACTGGTTGCTCTTTGACTGGAGTTAGACTGGAGTTAGTCCCATGGTTTAACCCCAGGCAGCAGCCAAGCCCCTCACAGCCTCTTGCTCACTCCCCCACCAGTAGGATCAGGGAGAGAATCAGAAGAGTAAAAGCCAGAAAACTCCTGGGTTGAGATAAAGACAGTTTAATAGATGAAACAAAAGCTGTGCACACAAGCACAGCAAAACAAGGAATTAATTCATTGCTTCCCATGGCTGGGCAGGTGTTCAGTCATCTCCAGGACAGCAGGTCCCATCCCACATAACAGTTACTTGGGAAGACAAATACCATCACTGCAAACATCCCCCCCTTTCCTCCTTCTTCTCCTCAGTATGATACCATATGGTCTGCCATATCCAGTTTGGATCTCCTGTCCTGGTTGTGTCCCCTACCAGCTTCCCAAGCACACTCAGCCCCCTCCCCAGCGTGGCAGGAAAGGCCTCAGCAGTAACAAAACCATCTCTGCATTATCAACCCTGTGCTCAGCACAAATCCTAAACACAGACCCACACCAGCCACTGGGAAGGAAATTAACTGTACCCCAGCCCAAACCAGGACAGCTATTTAGCTGCAAAGCAACCAGTTTCTTCTGGATTTGCTCTCCCTCCCACGTGAACACTGAATGTAACACAGGGTTGCCTTCAGCTGAGATAGACCTCTACCTCCTGCAAACCAGGGAACATCCAGCTATTAAACACTCTTCCTCATCTTTCAATTTGATCCTACTTCTGTGATCATAGAAATGAGTTGCAAAGCTTCCAGAAATACAAGCCATGAATTTCCAATGTGTGGATAAGAGAAAAAGATAAGAGCTCTTTGACTCTTCCGATATCTAAGGCATAATAGCATCATTTTCCCATTCTGGCTGGAACTACAATGAAAAATAACCTTCAAAGGTGCATAAGGAGTGTGGAGGACACATCAGTTCTGTGGTCAGAGGAGTCTCTGCTGCCCACTGAAGTTCAAAACTAGTTAACATCCTACAGAAGCCTATTTGAGCAAATATAACAACATGATAAGAATTAATTAGAATTCCCATTCAGTAATTAAGGGAATTCCCAGGACTCACCTCAATAGCAAGGGCCACTCCACAAGGGCTCTCTGTCCCAAGGTGGATGTTAGGTATCAGGTAGTGAAATTCTCAATGAAGCAACAACTTCTATAATTGAAGAATATTATTTTGCATATTAGCCAATTCCATAAACACTTAAATCTCAACACCTTCTAGAAACTCTTACAAACCTAATTAATATTTATCTTTAGAATATTCAAGGAAGTATTTCATGTGACCCCGTGTCTTCTACTTGCCTGAAGAGTTGCCAACTAGAGCGAATTCCTGGGCTAAAGGATGTTTGTCTCACTGTCATCCTGGTAAATTAATCCTCAAAGTATGTTACAAATATTAAAACATTAAAG